TTCGATGTTTTCAAAATCAACCAAGAATGATGGCCTCACGATCACTTAGCGTTTTCTTTTCAATTAACAAAACCTTCGACGAAATGTTTCTTAACACTTTTGCCGTTGATATCATAATATGCAAGAAATATTTCTATATTCTGTGCGTAGTTTGATGTTATACATAAACTCCACTTTGCAATCAACTCAGACTTAATCAACTGAACTGACTTTTAATACCAATAATTAACAAGCAGTAACAGTTGTAAATTCTCAGTCGGACATTCTGATGACACCTTTTTATAGCGAAAAATTGGATAATTTAACTAAAGTGACTAATTTATCACTGCAATTTTTTTGCAGATCATTCAAGTTCTCCTGATCTTACCTCTAGTCGATAGTTAGAGACAGGAACTCATCACAATAATTTAATTGATTTCCGACGAACTAGTAAAAGTTGTGATAAAAGCTGTAAATGACCTGGAATGATTCTACAATTAGAACTATCAAAATATGAGATGTGAATTACTTGTTATTTACGGCAACGGATTAGTTTTCGATTTAATTCAGTTTTCGATTTCTGAATCTTTTTTTGAAAATTTTTTGGGCATTTTTAAGAAACTGCTCGAGTACCAGTTAATGGTTAGTTGATTGTCATCGTAAAGATTCGTTGAAAGATCGATATTTCAGAAGCATTTCGCATCAGTATTAGTATGTCATCAGTGTCATTAAAGCGAAATGGTCAGATGGTCTTGTTAATTCTGTCGATGATAAATGAATATTGAAATGCTTCCAAAACATCGATCATTCAACGAATGTTTACGATGGCAATCAACTAACCATCAGTTGGTAAGATTAATCTAGAGTTCGAAAAAATTAAAATAACTGCCTCGAGCGGTTTCCTATGAATACCCAAAAAAATTTTCAAGAAAAAATTGCAGCCTCTTAGAAAGGCAGTACTATCACTAAATCATTTCATTTAATTCGCCATTGGTCAATTTATCGGTGATTGGGACTGTTTAACACCACGTGCCAGTTCTGTGAATTGTTTTACTGAATATTCTGACAATAGTTCAGTGTTAGCGTTTTCATTCTTCTGTAGTGATGAGATATTCCTCTTAAGCCTGAATTGATGATGGATGTCTCATTGGTTGGATTTTTGCAACGTTTAAAATTGAGCAAACATTTCCCGGTCATAGGAGACGGCGGTTTCAAATTATTGTATGCTTTTTCTTAGAGATAATGCTTTTAAAATAGTGGTTATCATGCTGGATTAGAGTGCTCGGATGATTATAATATTTGGTTGCTTATTGATAACGAAAAGACTGCTACTGAATTTCTACCATATGCCAATCGTTCAATATAGTGCTTAAATCCTAAATACTTGATATCAAGGCGGTAATGTGGTTCTCAACTATTAATTCGCTTTTGGTGACTACATACTTGTTAGTTGATCTGTTATTAATTTAATTTCGAATTATTAGTTGACGGACAGTTGTTGAACAGAGGGATGACCCTCTTTGGCTTTACGTAAGTTAGCAAAAGTGATGGAATTTACTGATTTTACATCCAAAGTCTCCAGATTTAATTGCTTTCTAAGTTTGTTTTGTTTTTATTTCATGTTGTTCAATCGTTTTAAGGTAGGTATCACACTATCGTCAATTCCTAATATGACGTGTTGGCGATAACGATAGAAAAGGAATCAGTATCACGGATTTGCTCCATTTTGGATTAGAAATTGCGATATCAGGGTGATAAGGTGTGAGTAATCAAAGGCGTACTTTTCGAATCAAGATAGAAATAATGCGTGTTGCTGACTAAGCTAGAAAGTTCGATTCATTGGCAAGGTGAGTAACAGGAATGATTTGGTAACTGGCATCATTTTAAGAAAACCATGATCTTGTCTGGGCCGTGATCATTTTAACAAGAAGGCTTAACAGAAAATGATCTGGCATTCCTGGCATATATCAAATATTTCGGGAGTGAGATATGAAGTGATTGTAGAATTTCCTTTTACTTTTAGAGGGATTCTCCATTTTCATAAAGTTTGTATGTGACATGTATGACATCATTGTTGATCCGCGAATCCAAGAGAGATCGGAATGATTTTAAGTATTTCAACAACGATCACTTCTTCCAACGGTTCATTTTAACATACTTATTGTCGAAATAATAATACAGTTTGATGAACCGTTGGAAGAAGTGGTCGTTGTTGAAATACTTGAAATCATTCCGATTTCTCTTCTGTCGGGCTATTTTAATTTAGGAAAACGCTTCAACTTTGTGGCGGTTTTCTAAAGGAAAAATAAGAGCACGATACCTATATTTGAATCGTTGTTATCCAAAATTTCACATTTTAAATTTATTTTCACAATTTTTTCCATAGGCCAAGGAGTTTTCTTTTAATTAAATCTGTCCTCTCTTCTGTTATCATATCTCTTTGTATTGTATTAAAATATGCATACTGTCTGTAATTACCTTCATGAACAAAGTAACATTACCCATTGTATAGAATTCAATTCGATCAGGCTATTGTTTAAAACAGTGCGCATGTTTTACAGAAACATAGTGAGATTTGATGATCCGACGATTTTGAACAGTTATCAGTGCTTCTGGTATTTTTCCTAGATGGGGAAAAACGAAATGGTAGGAATTAAAAAGCCTTTTTGAAATTTTCTTGCTCCGAAAAGAATGTGGGAACTTTTTTAGAACTCATTTTATTCAAATTCAAAAAAAATAGTGGGTGAAAATGCCGTATTTAAAGCGCATTATTCATTTCCATTTTTTTCAATAAAATTATCAAATGAACACTTAAAATAGTAAATTGCAACACTGACCGTATTATGCACCAAAAAATATAAATTCCACGTCTAATGATTCTGACAACAAACATTTTATAGAAATGAAAACAGCAATTTCTTCTTGCAATTGAGTCTTTGTATTGTATTAAAATATGCATACTGTCTGTAATTACCTTCATGAACAAAGTAACATTACCCATTGTATAGAATTCATTCATGAAGAGTGTTCCAGAATCAAAAAAATGCGTGATTCAGCACATGGCTTAAAACAGTCTACAAAACGTTTCCGGTCTGCAGGTAAACATTACCGGGTAAACCCAGCAAACATTACGGTGAGGATGCGTTTCTTCCTAGCATGAAGTGAATGATTTTTCTGAAGTAAAAAGCCATAGCACAGCACATTTTTCCATTAATTACCTCAACATTCGTTATTTTTGTCATCATTTTTCGTCCTTCAGTAATGTTGTATTGTTCTCATGTTGGAAATGATAGTAATTAGATCGAAAACTGTTTTTTCTTATAGTTCTCAGGTATTTCGGGCTTCATTCTGCGACTTCTACGTTTTGCTTAATTGTCTTGGAATTCATATTCTTCTTAAATGGGAATGTGCAACCAACATCGAATTGTATTTCTTCAAAGAGACACTTTCCGGATCGCCACAGGAACCAGTCATTTTTACGTTGTGCGACATTATATGTGAAAAAAGCCAAACATTTGTTGTTGTTTGAGGGACGTTTCAACATCACATAAGCCGATTCAGCTTCTGGACATTGCAGTGGACAATATGTCAGAATTTGATTTTGTGTTGCATCCTTCTCCTAGAAAAAAAAATACTGAAATTATAATTACATTACCACTGACACTGACTTCATTTTTAAATATCGTGGACCAAGTGATGGACCGGTTGTGATCATTTAACACGCTTTTACCGGTGCTATTGCTGTCAGAATGTGTAGTTCTGCTAGTTCAACTATAAAAAATATCAAACAGAAAAGCTGATCACTGTAAAACAGCCGTTATCATTGATTGTTGTCCTCTCATTGTCATCTTTGAACATCAAAGTGCAATCAGATGGCTCCTTTTCGTTTCTTATCACGCAAGTATATCGTCGAAATTCTGTAATTTCACAATTTCACTTCGTTCTTTTTTTCCAGCTAAATGGAACTGTGTTCACAATACTGATGTTCACAATACTAGAAGCAGTTCATATTATTTCGGTAAGTTCAGAAAAATGCATACGATTATGTTGGAACTCAGCTCCACCATTATAAGAAAATACAAGTAATATCCACAAAATACGCATTGAAACGATCTGTAATGAGAGAGAATTTATGATGTCACCCGTCTTGAAAATCATCTAATGACTATATTATGGTTTAAGGTGCTATGATTTATTTTACATGTCTGTCTTGCGGACTATGCAATTCAGGCGACTGAAATGATCATTTGTATTCACCGAAACAATTTAGAATAATCAAGGAAACCACTAATTAAAGAGCGGGGTGTTTACAAACCAATTATTCGCTTTCGGGATCACCCACAAGGTCTACAGACGTAGTCCTGAAAAATGAATGATTTACAGGACATAAAACAGTGGTTCTCCTGGTAGGTTGAAATTTAAGTTACTTGATAAGACTAATAATGGGGACATCCTGAAATGAAACACTGGGGATTGAATTGACCAAAAAGTCGATGAAATAAGGAAAGCATTATGTATTTCAGTTTGACCCAGAAGGATGACCTAATAGTGTCGTTATCATTATCACACCCATTTGTTCATCATTTTCTTGTCCTTCACCCGGCTGTTCTATGCGTTACATATGATGTTACAGTCACAGGTATTTCTTTCCCTACAGAATTTCCCATCGTTGCACTTTATTATCAAAGAGTAACCATTCGGACTCTATGAGAAATACATTTAATACCATGACCTTCGTCCAATCAAAGTAACTACAATCTTATCTTCATTTTCATTTGTTTTACATACATTTATCGTATAATCATTTGCTACAAAAAAACAAAAAAAAAAAAAAATTACAAACGATAAAAAGAGAAATGAAAATAACGATAAGGTCAGGAAATACGACTTGAATGCCAACTTATCGTGACTCAAAAATGTCGTGATAAATCATGTCATGTAATAATACTTCATCACTCTTTACGTAAATCGAAAAAAATTCACTCCATGTTAGTCATTAAAAGTCAGCTGATAGATAAAACCGGTAGTATATCATTGAAATCAATAGATGGATTGAACGAATTGGTAATCTAAGATTATTTTAAAAAATTTCAGGATAACCATATCAGGCTTGTAGTTGCTCCCCTTTCGAGATGGTGAAGTGTCAATTTGAAGTATTTTTATTCATATATTTTACAACACAGATTTTTCTGCAAAAATGATCTATGAAATTTTTCTCAACAGTAACTATGTGATTGGAGGGAGGATGGTCTTGGGTAATACTTATCAACCTTTTTTACTGTTTAAATGCTGTTAATTCGATACTGCTAAAGGACATTTTTATAAACATACTAATATAATTAAAAATAATATAAAATATTCTTTTTTTTTTTGCATATAAACTCTTTCTGTCGTATGTGGCACCAAGTGTGGGATAAGGGTTGATAAAATTCCGCTTTTCCTCAGTTTTGTTTCATATAGTTTAAAGCTCTTCTGACCTAAATAACATCAGATCCGCTGAACATCGCATAGCCCAGAGTTTCAAAACAATGTGACTTAAAAATCTGTCAATATAAACTGAAAAGTGAATAGCTGACAAGAATAATTGTTACATTATTAAAATCAATAAACTAACAATTAACACTGTTCAATATATGCAACGATTTTGCCTTTTCATATGAAACTTTACATATAAAAATAATTTCAGGAATAGAATTAATGATTTTACAATTTAGCATGAGATTCAATTCACTTCATTTTCCACAATGAAGCAACGATTTATAGTTTTGTTGGAATCTCCAATCATTTAAATCAATGGTGTTCCTGTCATCAGTGTCCTTTCGTAGGATAAATGTTTGAGAAATAAAAATCAACAGTTTTCTCCAACAAATAATCTGTACATTGCATTAAGAGCACGACGGACATGACAGCAAACATAATGGAATTGTTTGGAAGCGAACTGAAACAATACAATCACCATTACTGGTTCTTGTACAAGGGAACTAATTATCTGGGAAAATTAATTAATAAAAAACGGTAAAATCCCTATGAGGGAATTTATTTGGATAAATACCATAAAACCTTCAAACTTACATTATAAGATGCATATTATTTTATTCGTGTCCCTACCCCATTAGGATTAATTCATATCGATGATGATTTTAAAATCAAAAGAAAAAAAAAGGAACACTTATACCATCTTAAAAGGACGTACAGATCGAACACTGACAACAGCAACAGCCTGCAAAAATATTTTGTATATATATGCAATATAATTTCGATATCGCTGAGCTAACCCAAAAAATGGCTCTAATCGAATAGACTTAAAAGATGAGACTACCATTCGCATTTTACAGTAATTCACTTAAATTTGTGCATGCTGCTTCTGAAGATGTTCAAGCATTAGTATGATGGATATGATTAACTTACAAGGAAGTAACAAACAGTAAGGTGAACAGCCTGTAATAAATCCACTAGAGCAGCTCTGATATCCACTATTGCCATTACCTCCGCTCCTGCTGGTGCAACATCCTGAGCCTAATTCTAAGCCAAACATTGCTGCTGGAGCACTTAATGGTTGCATACTCTGAATTGTCGCTTTCGACCAAACGGTATAGATTGGTTTCTGCGGAATGTATGACTGATAAGGTTTAGGATTGAAAGGCTGATCTGTGTAAGGGAACTTCACTGAATTCGGCAATTGTTGCGGTAATGACTGCGGAATGTACTGCGGTGGGTTAACTTTTACCGGTCCTGTAAAAAGAAATGATTTTTAGTAACTTTTGAATTTGTCATTTTTAAAGAAGTTATGTCTCACTAAATCTTCGATTGTTCGAAATTCAGGATAACATATATTAAATCAGCAAAAAAAGTGATCTAAACAGGCTTTTCCATGCAATTAGCCTAACGGAATAAATATCCTCGAAGTCTGGATCAAGCCAAGATACCATCGCATAACGGCTGTCAAAGGCAGGCTTTCCAAATCTTTAACAACTTAATCGGTTGATGAATTGAGTAAAGCCACTGACAAATACTGCTGTAATTATCTCACTTATATCTTGATCTAATTAAATCATTAAAGAAAACTCAATTTTTCGGCTGCATATCCGAAAAAAAGTGCAGAGTTAAATGGATATAAGACGGATTCAAAAAAAAAATATTAAAATATGAATTTACAGTGCAAAAAACAAACCAGCCGTGTTGTATTTAGGATAAATGTTCACGTATCGGTTTTGCATTATCGGAATAGGAATAAAGGTTGTTGAAACAATATCCTTGATGGATATGCTGCTAAATTTTTTTGCATTTCTTGCTACAAAATTATGACGGGTTAAGTTGGGTATGGATATTTTCTGAAGATAAAATTGATAGTAAACGGTTCAAGCAGTTGTTATTGTTGGACCGATTTTCTTCCGCAATGTTACCAATACTTCTATGACCAAATATTTGGAAAGCATATATATCAATCCTTCAAAACCCATCTTCAAAAAGTGATGCAAAATTAACGTCGTTAGCTAGCTAACGAACAGTTCATGTTCAATATAATTAAAACCTCGTCATTTACTCGTCACTTACTGCTTTCAAGAGAATTTCGTTCTCTTGAATTTTTATTCATGACGGGTTAAGTTGGGTATGGATATTTTCTGAAGATTGAATTTTTATTCAAGAGAACGAAATTCTCTTGAAGAGATAAAATTGAATAAAAATTCAAGAAAACAATAAAATAAAATTGTCCTTTAAAATTCAAAATTTTTGGAAATTGTTTGAAACTTTGGAAGTAAAGAAAGGAACCTTCAGATATCTCGGACTGATAATCAAGTATAGATGTATTCCGTGAGCTTTCATATCGGATTAAATTCCGATTTTCGTCAACCGAAAAAAAAACAGTGTGCCATTTGAAGTAATGAATTAGGCTGTTAAGACTATTTCTTCAGATCAAGACTAAATTGCTAAACAAGAAAGACTATAAACTAATTAACAGCTCATACTTATGCATCTTACTTAAAAGTAATCTTTAAAATTCTAGTTGTTAAATTTTAGGATTATTACTTAGACTGATAAACAAATCCGAAAGAGGCGTCATTGTATTATATATTTTTTGTTTTTGTTTTTGTTTTTTTTTCTTTTGTAAAAAGACGTATTGAAATATGGTGAGTACTTACTTTGAAATATTAATTAATTTCGAATTACACTTACTATAGCCATGACGTTGTCATAATTACCGCCATCTTCATGTCCACCAACATTGTTGGCATAGGATGACGTGCCAGTTTTTTTAATCTGGTTTGAAATTAAACATTATCAAAAAAAAGGAAAAAAAAACTTATTTTTCGTTACGGAATATCACATATGCATTAGTTCTCATTATGAATACGATTTTTTCAATTTTTTGAACATATATTCGAGCATTGAGAAATAAGAAATGAGATTTGTAGTACTTCAGATTAAATCATTTTTTATCAAACTATAGTTGACACTGATGACGTAGATTAAAACACACGAAGTTCTTCGGTAATGCATTTAAAAAATGGAATTGAAAAGAAATATACCTGCTGTTCTGCTGTTCCGGAAAGTGGATCACTATGAAGTATTTCTGATGGGGAAACTTCAGTTTTAAACTGAGAACTCCAGTCATTTTCAAGTACTCCTTTAGGGTAACTTGAAACTGTTCCTACTAATCCTTCTGAAGGTCCACCGTGAAAAGGATGGACCTTTGAACTCTCTTCAACAGCTGAATGGTCGATTGCTGTTCTTTCATGCTGTGCTGCTGCTACAGCTGATGAAAATTCAGTCGCAGTTGATAATGGAACAGATGATGGAATTAACATGATCGCAGGGGAAGTTGATGCAGAAATGTTAATTGTTCTTGAAGGTTTTTGTGTTGTGATAGTATTTGTTTCTGAAGTCAAGCTAGAGGTATCAGATACTTCCAGTTTAGAAACAGGAAGGCTAACACGTTGACTGGATTCGCCTGAATACCAGTTCAAGGACGTTACATGATTATCATGAGTAGTTTCTTTGACTGGCATCTCAGTCCGATGAATTCCTGCTAGAATGGATGCCGGTGTTACCGTAAATGTTGGTGGCAATCTGTTCGTCATCTGCGGAAACACCGACGGCATAAGTTCTTTTGTATCTGGAAATACTAAAAAATGAGGAATTAAAAGAAAATTAATGAAGCAAATCCTGATGTTATGCATTCGTCGACAATTAAATTATAAGAATATCATTCAAAAGGGTGAAATTAATTGTATATTAATAATTAAGCAAAAACTGTAATATTTATTATTACAGTTCTCTCCAATACTTCTTACAGTCTTTCCTGATATGAAATTCAGATTTTAATCAAAATCTTTTGCTATTTTAAAAGAGAGAGGAAGTACCTTTATTTAATGATACAGTTTCATTACTCGGAATAAGCTGAGAACTGATATTAAAGCTTGTTTCATCACTAGGGCTGCTCGATACAGTCTGCTTAATTTCATGAATTTCTTTGAAAGTCTCCGATTCCATTTCAATAACCATTATGCTCTGATGTGTGGTACCATTGGTAATGCCGGAAGCATCTGCAAACTTATCATAGAATTGAAAAGCAGTGGTATGACAAAGTTTTGCAGCACCAACAAATTGATGAGAAGCAACAACATTAGCAGTTAACAGGTGCATATTGCGAAAGTCAAATCAGACAAAATATTGATTTCTTTTTAAATTAAATTTAAATTGAATCGAGCTGGGAGAAAACTAAATCCAGTTGCTAAAAAAATTCATTAGTTTTCTTTGAGACTAATAATAGCAAACATCTGACTACTGACAATGTTGGAGTTTTACAATTTAAATAACTAAATTCAATCAATAAATCTTACCAGTCCTTCTCATAAAAAAAAAAATGTGTTTGCTTAAAAAATAATTATTGAGTAGGATGGTCAAAAGAATATTAACTCCGTTTTTTATTTTCCATAAAGGGTAAAGGAAGATGATGAGATTTTATTCGTGACGGGGTTATAAGGCTAATGTAAATTTTCTACTGCTATCGAACCTGCTCTTCGATGATTCAAAAATGTAAAATTTTTATTAAGTTTAGACTGATTTTGGTTAAACAAAACCATTATCACATTGCATTAGGTAAGGCATCTGGTCCGACTTAAGTTTTAAAATAAGTTGATGTCATTACACGTCATAACATCGAAGGATGTATTGCACTAATAACCTACAGAATAATGATCAATGAAGTGCATTCATAGTGCAATGGTTTGATGCAGGATTGTCCTATTTTAAAACGTGATGATATATGATACGATGAAGCCTATTGTGGGTTACAAGCATGAAGTTAATAGTGCAGGAAAGAGATTAATTAATTTCATTTTTGTCTCAGAAGGATTCTCTTACCACAAAGAAATAATTACCTATGCTGGATGGATGCAGATCGGAACTCGTCTTCATTTTATTGATCTGAAAATATTGTTTAGGCAATGCCTCCTATTTCGTTCATTTATTTGATGCCGAAAAAAATTTATATTACATATCGCTACTCAATACTGATTTCACTATTATTTATAGAATTTCTTCTCTATGGTCGTTATGAATTTTATTTCTTCCTAACAAACAAAATTTGTTGATTGTTCAGAACAGATTTTTTCGGTTGAAGATTTGCAAGCTGGATCTCTGTAGCACTTTATAGTCTTGTTATTTGATTACCGATATTCAAATTTCAGCAAAAAACTTGGCATTTAATTAAGAACTTCGAAACTGCATTCTGTTTTTAAAAATATTTCAAAAAGTGAAACAGCAAGTGTGAGTAAACCTGTTCGTCCTCAATAATATCGGTGTGACCTAACTGAACTGGAATTTTGCCACGTTCAATCATTTCTTCATTTTCATAGCTCGGATAAAAATTAGTTAAATGGATATCATTAGTTTGAGAATTTTGTTCATCAGTTTCAGCAGTATCGCTGCTACTGCCTTTAGTATTTAAATCGGCGAATGAATGCTGTTCCTCCGGATAATATCCACCGTTAAATGATGATTGCTGCTTTGAATTAGACGTGCCTTGCAAATCATCTGCTTCCTGTCCAAAGTTACCCAAAGTTTCTTTCTCATTTGTGATATTCGGAATTTCTTCGGCTGACAAACTGTGGTTAGATCTGAGTCCAGGCCACTGTTCAGAAGTCACTGTTGCTGGCGTGAATGTCTGTTTGTGAGTGATCACTACCAGTGTAGAGCTAACGTTGCTTTTATCAGTGTCAGATTTATGGTGTGTAAAACTTTTAGAAATTGTTTCTTGTTTCAGAGACATCTGTCTATTTGATGGCACATTATTGGAAACAATGGTTCCATTCTTCATAGAAAAATGAAAAGGTAACAGTGATTGGATCCTTGGCTTAACAAGTTGCTTATCATAGGAAGATACAACATCTATTGGCCGGATTAAAATTCTCTCAGTTTGTAATGAATTATTTCGATCTATTGTTCCAGAAGAATTTTTTGTGTCTTCTAAAATGTTGGTTTCATAATTATCTCCAGAATATTGAACAGATGATCCCCGAAGTTCTGTGGTTGCAGTAGGAACGTTTACCGCAATGTCGGGTTCAACGGTCAAAGATGACACTGTATCTATCGATACATCCGTATAAGATTCGTTGATATGGGCAGAAGTTCCGAGCATCATATCAGACCCGTAACGGCTTTCTAATGTTTCTTGAGTTTCGAAAAAACTACTTTTTTCTTGATTTTCTGTGGTTTCACTGGATAGAGCTTTGTTTATTAAATTAGAAGGCATTCGTTCCGATGTGATATTCGGTAACAGTACCGTCCGCTGTGAAACTGAAACTTCCTGAATTATTGTGGGCGTAGTTACGGATGTTGTATTTTCAGCTTGAAATTGTTGCTCGTTGCTTGATGGGTTGTGAATTATTATAGCATTGGAAGTTGTAAAATATGGCTGTTCTTCATAAGTTATGCTGAAATTGGGAGGTTCGTACTCCTCTGCTTCTGACTGCTTTGTTTCCATCGGATAAGATGAAACTAACACTTGATGCTGTGTTGATGTGGACACTATTGAAGTAAGAAAGACAGTTGAAGATGTTGAAGAAGTATGCTGTTGCTGCAATTCATTGTTGCCGGAAGATACTAACGGTTTCTGAGGTGCATAAGGCAATTCAATAGGTACTTCTGTAACTTCATCCTTTCCGTTTTCCATGCTTTCGGTCGGAATGCTTCCAGTTGTCGAAGACTGTAGAGATATTCCCATTTCGATTTCACGTTCTCGACTTGAATTTGCAATTGCTTGCTGCTGATTAGAGCTACTGATAGCTGCAAAAAACAAGGAAAAAAAAATTAATTTTAATTTTTCAGTGAATTTAGTGAATGTTCCCTCAGTGAACGATTCGGATTACCGGATATGACCATTTATTTTGTATCGTTTTCATCGTTCAATTCAATCTCGGTTTTTTTTCTTCTCTTTTTTTTCATACTGGAAATTAAGGAAGACTGAAGGGATATGTCACCGATTTTCGGATTGTAACATATATTCACGAATCTGACAGTTACTTTTCAGAATCCAATAGTACGGTCCAAAGTGTTCAGCGAACGAAATAAACCGGCATAACAGCGACAACAATCGTCCTTTGTTTTTCTCCTAATATCTGACAGAAGGATTCCACTCCCACTTTTAGATTTTGAACAGGAAAGGAAAGAACAGCATTAGGAACTTTTGACCCGAAAATATTTCATTAAAAATATACTTTTTCAACCAACAATGAGTAATAATAAAATAGCAATTTTATTCAAGCTGATGTTTATAAAAAGCATTGGAAATTAAAACTAAATTTTGCTTTTGAATATTTGAAGTACTACCTGTCTTTTGAACACCGGTTGTTAAGGCCGTATTATTCTGACCAAGATTTCGGATTGTGAATAACGCTTTGGCAGAATGATGCACTTCATTGGCGTTTAATCGGTATTTCAGATCTGTCCGTCCATTACTAAATGAACATTTCAAGTAAAATCAATTTTAATATGCATATGTAACTAAAATGCTTAAATAATAACGGCATATTATCCTAATCCCCACTTCGAAAACTCAATTTTTCATGAGTGAAAATTTCATAGATGGAACCAAGAAGAAAGGGAATTGTGGACAGTATGAAGAAAACGTATATTGTACCATATGAGTTGGTGGCCTCGACCACTCTTGTCATTTACTTATTAATGCTTAAGTTGCTTGAATGAATACTTCTAAGGGATGTAAGAAATATAAGGTCATTTCCTTGAATCGGAAATGCTTGATGTTCGGATTTATTTCGACCACAGAATTCATCACAAAACATGAAAGTAAAGGAGAGTATGCAGTCTTATCCAGCGGTGACTGTTTTATTCCAAGATGACAAGTATCGCGGGATTCCTACATTTAATAGTGATATGCATCATTTTTGATCAGTTGCATGTATTCTGTCCCGTTTTTTTTAAAAAAAAAAGTTGGGTAACTTACTTTACACGCTGATATAAAATATCTGGTCGCGAAATATCAGGTGGCGGATAGAAATTCACTTGTGACTTTCCAACATTTGGCGAAACACCTCTTTTAAAAGAAGTGATACTACCTGAATGAATGACAGAAGTTCACATCAACTTATGATTTTCACTAAATTTAAGTTTCGTGATATATATTTTCTCCAGTTGCTCTCACTACTAATGATTCATTATCCTGTTTTTGGAAGAGCAACTTTTGCTTCCATTATCTTTACGGTATTTTTACTCTTAGTGCTATCAAGTCGTACACTTGATTAGAAGACAAAAGAAAAAATTTAAATAATATGAAAAAGAATAAAATATGAAAGTGAATGGATGGGAATGGGACATTACATAATTGTTAATGGTTATACCAAACAACAATAACTATTAATGAAATTTTTGAGTTAAATTTAAGTATTTTGTGGGTAGAATTTCTGTATAAATAAAATTTCATTTTGATGCTTTATCAAACTAATGTAACAAAGGTTGTCGGTAGGACACGATCTTGGTTGAACGACATCCTGATCATATGTGGGTCTACATCATGATGACCAAATGAAGGAATTTAATTAAATTTAATGAAATAATAATCCAGTTCTTTTGAAATTCCCCACATTGGTAAGTTTCCGGAAAAGTTTCAAAAAAACGAAAACTTTTAACCTTATTTACTTTTAGCCTTATTTCTAAAAAGACTCATGAAAGACTTGAATTACATATGATAATTTTTTAAGAAATGATGAACTCATCATTTTTACCTTTAGCATTCGGTTTATTTTGTTACCAAAGATGATCTGATACTAGGAAATGAAAGATTACTCTTTACATCTATCATTTTTAATTAGTATTTTGTTTTTGTTTGGACGTCTTGACAATTTTTCAAGTTTTTTTCTTTTAATTACCCTACTTGATTCAAGTTCTTCTATGGGAATCAGAATGCGAATTTTCACTTTTCTCGGAACCAATTTTTTTTTCCGGTGCTGGTCTGAGAGATTTAAATTTTATTCAACGTTTTCAATATGGAATTTTTATTATCTATTTTCCTCGCTCTAAAATAAACAGATATGCATAAAATTGGATTATGTTTGCAACAACAAACAGTCTTTTTTACCCAAAAAACTTCATAATCTTATTTTGGTCAAATAACGAAGTGTTATTGATAAATAATAAAAATTAAAAAGCAGTGAATACGACAATTTCTAAAAACCATATTTCTAGAATTAGTAAGTCTATTTGCATTAATAAACTATCCGAATCCTTACTGCGCAATAAACTTGAAGGAATATTGCAATTTACTTGACTTTAAAATAGGGTGATTTACTTAATTTTAAAATAGGGCGACTAACCTAACTTTAAAATATGAGATTAATGGAAATTAATGTTCGTATATCATCCGTATATCGTGTTCGAATATCTTGAGAAGGGTTGACAATGACACTTACCGGAAAAAGTGAACTTTTCAGGAGCAAAATGGTATTGAGATTTACCAAAATTGAGTAAGGAAAGTAGCAAAACGCTTAGGTACTTTATCTTAGACATTTCTCTATGGCAGAGCTCATGCAAAGCACAAAATAGAAATACCTGAAAAATTTTATGCTTTACAATCTTTGGATTATCTTTCATTTCTTACAGCACTGTAAATATCGCATAAATTAATACGACAAATCTGAAAAGGTCATCACAATTTTACATGTTTCAGCTAATAAGTGTAGATATAAGAGGATGAACAAAACAACGCTCCGCTGATAAAACCGTATCATTAAATAATTAAAGCCGATCGTTACTATGTAAATTATATTTGTTTAGCAACAGTATAACAGTAATATTAAGCAGTAATTAACAATGGTTATTGCGGTACAGAATGTGACGAGTAAATAGTGTAAAAGAATGATATATGTCATTTAAAAAGTTTAAAAAGATCCGGACGATATCGGTCAAGGCGTGACCAACGACATTCAACAGCTATGATTGTAAACTGGTTCAAGAACTCGTGCTTCAGCTTGATTCATCCCGAATCATTGATGTCTTTCTGCATTCCTCTGCTTCTCCCCATTTTTAACTTCATTTCCTTGCTCAGGTATGTCTTTAAATACGTCTATGATTTATTTCAATGGTTAATATATTGATTTATTTGGTGGTCTACTAATTTTTTAATTTATTATACTACTATTTCAGACGTCCTTCACTCAGCGTCAATATTTAGGAGTAGACCGATTGAAAGAATCCAACCAAATGAATTTTTCAATGACAGTAAAGCATAAAATAACTTTATTATCTTAAATCAAGCAATCTTATGCATTATAGCATTTTGTTAGTGCATATAAGCATAGACTTTCAAGAATCATTCTGATACCTGTAGTTATTTCCAAAAAAATGGCGGCTTTTGTATTATTCAAAAATCCATTCTATGTTACATATTGTCATCTGAAAATTTGATATTTTCCAAAATTGTCATGTAAAGTGTTCGTTAATCAGCATCGGCGATGAAATCATTTGATATTGGCTAAAAGCTTATTGCAATTTTTTACTATGGTAATTGCCATAGGTTGTTTCGAAGAGTTTTTGGTGAAAACGCTTCGAAATCCTGGACAACTTTATTCAGCCTAGTATGTTAGAGATATTGAAGAAATGTATTGTGATTATAATTTTTATTAAATTTTAGCCATAACTGATTTATGTTAAAATCGGCCTATTCATTCATACAGTCGATTAAACTTTTGTATTATTATAAACACAGAAACAAAAGTTTGTGAAAAAAGTGAAAGTAAAGGAAAATATTCTGTTGCAGTAAAAAATCTCCTTCGCGGGAAAACTTGCTTTTTGCGCGAAAACAACCCGTCTTTCGACCATTTCCTGTTTGTTTTTTCTTTTTTTTTTGTTGACGTTCATATTTTTCCTCTCTTTTTATACTTTGATTACTGAATCGTATACGAAAGAATCATTGGTCACTTAACTTGGTGGTTCCTAACCGGTAGTCTGCGGACCACAGATGGTTCACGAGAATTAAAATATGGCCCGCAAGGGTGTCAGCGCGGTGAGTAGAAAACAGGCGGTGAGTGTTCTTATCAATGTTTGATAAATAATAAGTGAAAAATTTTGCCCAAAGTTTGTCGTCAAATTAACAGAATTTATTATTTTCAGACCTTGTGCTTTCTGCTACAAATCAAAAAGCCAAAGCGATCCCTGGTCAAGAAAAGATTGGGAACCACTAACTTAATTGGTAGCCATACCGCATTTTCTTTTTGATGAAATGTAATTCAACACCTCAAATCGTTTTATTTTTTTATCAACAACACCGTTGCATTGTCAACTAAAGTTTGGAAAAGAATAATGGTGTTTTATGGTATGTTATACAAAAAACTTCTAATGTATGATAATTGGTCCTTCTTTTTTCCGCATTAAAATTTTGCACAGTGCCAAAAAATTAGGGATTTTTTAAACTGAAACTTTAGGCTACAATTTCTCTAAGCTAAAGCAGGCTATTTCACTTAGTTAACTAGACGATGTCATCTTAAATTATTAATACGTTGAGCAGTGTTTAATCATTCAAGTAATTGCATGAGAATGGGATAAATGCAAGATTGATTGGTTAATCAGCTTTTTTGGACAGCAAATTCGAAAGAACCAAAAATTTTTAAGGATAGATGTGACACATTCACATGTACATGTAAGAACGGCAGTACACATATATTAGATATTATCTTTACTAAACGACTTTCTCATCCCTTCTCTTTCTTCCATCAAAAAATGTTGCATCACTTTATTTCAAATTATTTCATGCATTTATCATTATTATATACTTTACGTATCGGAAGATCTTTCCAGAGTATTTTAGTGCTTTTCTTCTTACAACATTCTGGACAGTGTCTTTTCCATCTATTTCATCTGCAGATATCATCCTTCAAGATCAAAGATTCAATTCTTTTTCTGTTTCATGTCGCTTGTTGAAACGTGTTTTATAATGTGAATGAGCATCTTCCACTGTTTTTGTGATTGGAATTTTTGATTCATAGAAAGATGATTAACAACTAAAATAAAAGCGGGAACTCATTCATATACTGAATGATAAATCATTTAAGTAATCATTATGAATTATTGATTTGGATAACAATTTTATTGCTCTTGTTAATAATTATCCAGTAATGATATTTTAGTAGATGATAACATTTGTATCCTACAAGAAATCTTTAACTGTTTAATATTCTTGTGAGTCTAATTCAAATCACATGTTCAAATGAAAGTTCCGGCACAGGACTATGATAATTATTTTTACTCAAACTCCAAACCGTGATTTGATTTTGGATTAGCTTAAATTCAGTGATTTGAAATCTGCATTAACTAATGAGATGGAAAAATTATTTTATTTATTGTTTGTTCTCTAAGATGTGTTCGTCCATTGCAATACCAAAATAAACTTATTTATGGGATGATTGTTAACAAATTGGAATCGCAGTGGTGGAGAAAAAAGTGGATAAGATACCTATATTTCAAATATCTGAAGAAAGTTCTTGTGAAATTTTTTTGATGTCATTTTGAAATGGCATTTGTCTCATTGATGTAGTGGAAAACAATCGCGCCTCTCTTCTCTGTCTTCCTCATTTCATCCTAATCCTTTTTGTCATCTAAAAAGTTCTCTGGGAAGAGTTTGAGCAGTTCATAATAGAAAATAAAAAACATTCGATATTAGCCTGTTAATAGCAAAAATAGTCGGGATCATGAAGCAAAAATGCAGTAAGAACCGGAATTGTATCTTTAGAGTAGTTAACCGGAGTGCTCATTTAGTAGTTAACGTGAAATTTTTAACTGGGAATGTAGCATTGTGAATGAGTAGAAATGCTTCGGGATGAAATCTATAGGTAACTGTTATTTCACCACCTTCCAATGCAAAGTTGTCAATGTTACCAAGATGGGTCGATTGTCATTAAATGACCATTTGAAATCATTTGAATTAAGAGGACTATTTACTGAGCATCAATTGTCCAGCTAAATTCGACTCATTCAATGAATTATTGCTGAAAGAAAATTTTCTAACAAACAAATTTACCAATGAAAGCGATAAACTTATAAAATAACATATCTTGGAAAATACAATACAGATTTAAGAAGAAAATTCCATATGCTATAGCATATATCAAAACATTGATCATAGATAGGAATTTAAGAGGAATTAATAACAACCGACATTTCTCGGTAGTACAAATGATGTGGTGAATATTCCCGTAACTTTCACTATATCTCTAATAATAACGCAAGATTGCGATACCAAAAAAATATTTTGAGATTAAATACTGAAAGCAAAGAGTATATTTACAAGCTTTACTAATTTTAAAAATATCCAGAATTGTTGTAAAAAGAAACTTTGGATTGATCTTATTATCAGCAGTTACAAAATACGTGCATATGTACATATTATCAAGGAAGTGGATCAAACCCGCATTAATTCAACTGTCTGTGACACATTATAAAAAGCTATGTCAGAATATTAAGCCTTCAAAATGCTATGCACAATCAAAGAGAAATGGAAAACAACGATACGGATAGAATGACCGATCTTTGCTGAATTAATTTGCTGGTCGCTTAACATTATGAAATGTATGTTGATAAGAAATAAAGTAATAAATCAGAAGGCTTATCTCATTTTGCATCGCTAACAAGTATTTGTTCGGCACTGCAAACACTAGCTTTGCCAAGTTCTTTCACTAAATAAACACGAATCCAATGTAAGCTTGATAGGAAACCCAATACAGAATAGGCGATGGAGGAAAACAAACTATTGAGTACTGGGCGCTCTTGTTAATGATACAATGTCGAACGAATACCGCTCCAAAATCTTCCAGTTTTGTTGATATTTTGATTTGATTCGAGAAAAAAAAAGAAAAGGAAAAAAAAACAATGTCAGAGCAAAAGCTTAAATGCTTACATGGCTAAATGAAAAGCGCTTATGCCAACTGTTGACTGTTATTCCGGAATAAATGTTCGCGTTCGTGTCGATGATGGCTTAGTGCAAAAAGCCACAGTAGTGCCAAGAATATGGCAGTGAAGGAGATTAACATGACGGAAAAATATGACATCCATGTCTTTCCTGGCTTTACCATATTGCCTTTTCAAAATTGTTGCACAAAAATTTCGTGTCATATTTTGGGGGACATTTTAAAGAGACATCCATATGACAGTTTCCATATGACAGTTCGTGCTTGATGCTAAAAAGTTGTTCCTCTTTACTTTATCTTTAAGCAACAAAAAAGTTAAAAAAGGAGATATGGGATGAAAACAGAAATAAATGAAACGTCAGAAGAGTAAAGCCAAGAGGTGCAAAGATGAAAAAGATAGGTCATTATTTAGAATAGTAACACAAATTTACAATCATTCTCTTTCTGGCCGTACCATTTTTTTTGTAGATTAACGCTAAATAATCCTGTCCCGCCACTTCTCTTATCGAGTTCAAACAAATATCTTTTCTATTTTAAAAAAATGGAAAATTTATTTGTCGCTATGGAATAATATTTTGAGATATAAAATGAGCCATTCGAAAAACAGTACCTGCAAATGTGTGAGGGGTAAAGGTTATTAACTTTATGAATAAGTTAATTATGGTTACCTAAAATATCCAACTTGAACACTTCGTCGTGGTATCGAAATTGTAACAGTTAAACAATGTTGATGCATGACTGGGAGACTCACGATGAATTAAATCACTCCAAAAAAAAATTCTCATAAGTTATGAATTATAACTTTCATTACAAAAAACCATCAAACCATCAAAGTCAAAAAAAAAACCATCAAAGTCAAAAATCTGATTGAATTAAAATGCAAGTTCAAAAGATTTGAGTAGCATTTAGTGATTTTGTGTTGGAAAATAATTAAATGATTTACAAAAAGATTGTTCGGTGCAACTTTGATAATGAAGGTAATGAACATGGAAACTAATTATTAAATAGGTAAGGATTTTAAAGAAGTTAAAAAAGAAGTGAAGCAGTCAGCAAACTCTGATGACAATCAGAGATGAGTGAAATCAGCTTGTGTGCTATCCAACGTACACTGTTTACATTAGTCTCGAGAAGTAACTTACAATTGCTTAGCAATATTTGAAACGCTAAAATCTATCGAGTCTTTTTACTTTAGTGAGTTGATTTTTGAAAAGAAGACAAAAGGGCAGCTGGCTGTTTGTTGTGCTAAGAGGCAAAAGAATTGAAACGCAAACAAACGGTGCTATGAACAATGTTCCATTCCATTCACTTCTCAGATCGTTTTATTTTTGGTAAAAAAAAAAAAAAAACAATTGGAAAATATGATATATTTTTTTAAAGAAGCCAAAGTTGAAAATCCCTCTTCCTTATTACTACTTCATCATACCATATAAATGTATTTCATTTCATATATGAAAGAGAAAAAAAGGAAGAATACTGATAAGAGTAAACTTATGAATATAGTATGAATAGCGTCAATTTTGCATTCACAATATGCTACCCCAATGTTGTTGTTTTTTTTTTCAAAGCAACAACTGTTTTGTAATTGGCATTATGGATGATAGAAATGCTAGCAGCGTTTCTCTATCAATTCCAGCTATTCGTTTTAATACTTACATCGATTCAATTGCCTAATTCTTACCAATGCCAAACTTACTGAGTAAATCTAAAATAAATATTCTAGCCGTTGGCCAAAAATTTTTTTAAATTTCATAATAACAAACAAGTAGAAGAAGACAGTGTAAAGGTAGCAAGATTAATCAATTTTTATTGTAAAAGTGATTCCAACCTACAGCTGTCCCATTATAGTAGGAGTTGCGCTAGATAACGAATACCATTGATTAGAAAACATCCAGAAGTTTCAGTTTTACAATATTTGAAATAACGCAAGTGGTATCGAAGTCTACATCATTTCACAGACAAAATAAACGGATAACTTTTCTTCCGGTTTACGTAAGTTTAATGGAGACACTAACAAAAAAGCGTGATTATCCAATCTCGAATGAGCACCTTGCAGGTCTCCATCTTCACTGAACACCTGACTGCCTTAGAATTAAACCGGTGCTAAAAACCGCGCCCAGACAAAATGTCACATTATCACGCTAATCGTGAACTAGTCATTCACACTACTACCTGGGATTCACTTTTGTAATGTCATGGAGCAAATATATTGCCAAACACAACGTTCCCCCTTCTCTGGGATGATGCGCGTAGTAAACCACTTCTTTATTCTTTCAAAGAGTAGCTCCTACAAGTTTTAAGCTGTTCGGTCCAATACAAGACTTTTTGTGCCATGCTATTAATTTATGCGACAAAACGAACGGAAAAAAGTTTATCAATAGAACTTGAAAATTTAGTGATACAGATACAATTGCCAGAAATGCTGGTGCTACTGCTCTGTGAGTCAACATTCAAGAAATCATTAAATCCAGTAATGAAAAAATACGAATAGTGCAGGATATTTCAATTACTGCATGTAAGCGATTTTTTTTTACGCTAGTAAAACTTGGAATAGAAAAGCTGCAAATAATAGGCAAATCTTATCAGGTTTCACTGCAATAAAAATGCCCAAATTCAATTTATACTCTAACTCGTAGAGCTTGGAACCTTGAAGCTTCCACTTAAAACGCAAATTTGAAGGAAAATGAGACTCATCCGATCAGAAAAATGAATAAATAATGAGCCATCCATAAAACATATCAAACAATCATCATGTTTTTTCACAAGATATTGTGAACGAAGTAAATTTTAAGACTACTAATATAAGTGTAGAAGAGAAATAAAACTTGAATTGAATTCAAAGGAGTACGAAGTATGTTTTTTCTCCAATATAATGCAATTACAATTATGCAATTACAATTCGAGTTATACAATTGCAAAGTTTGAGTAGAAATTTAATATAGTAGAATATAAAAGAGAAAAAAAAATGTGGTCTACAAATTCAGAACATAGCAAAATGTGACGCAACTGATATAGTTTCCATTACCATTTATTCTTTTTTTGGGGACGATCTCTTGCTCCTGGCTTAACATAACTTCTAGCCAATCGCTCTTCTGTTATTCTTTCATCATCGCTATCATCGGTTTCCTCCTCCTCGTCGTCTTCATCTTCATCAGAATCAGATCCAATTGATGGTAGGTCCTCATTACCAGAACCTTCATTGTCTTCGTCGGACAGTGCACCCGTATCAGCTGAAATGACAAAACAATGGGAATAAAAGACTGCTGAATAACCTTACCAAAGAAGAGAAGGAACGCACCGAATTCAACTCCACCCTCGTCGAGATCATCACCACCTTCATTCAATTTCGCATTTTCGGGTAATTGTCCACATGCTTTTAAATTCCTCGCTTCATCGGGATTATATTTTAAAATAACATCAGCCTATAACATACAAATATACATATATATATATATATAATATGCAAAAGTCTAAGATGAAAATGAAGATACGCAAGATTTATAAATATGTTAGTTTTCCAGTCCCCTTCCGAAAACAGAATTCTGAAAAGCATGTAACACTAATTAAGAAGTCTGTAAATAAATTACCTTATCGTCCTGATAATCTCTGAGACCAATTAGTATAATATCACCAGTGTTAATCCATACTTTTTTCGTAATTTCCCTCGAATATGACATAAGCGCGGTTTACCATCGAAGCAGTTTGCATTTAGCCGACCGTTACCAAGCATTTTAATTACTTGCGCATATTCTGCAAAATATATTTATGCCTAAGAATAGCCTAAAATAAGTAGATCTGAATGATTCCAATGCTGTAGTTCCATAACAACCTTTTTTTCCAAATTAATAGTTCCAATTAGGTGGTCAAAAGTGACGTGCAGAAATGACCAGAAAATGAATTTTTCATACCGAATAGGTAATGTCTGAAATAAAGAAAAAAAAGTTTCGGCTATCCGGCAAAGAAGCGGTTTTGGAAGAGAATTCGACGACCCGTAAATTTTAACAATACAAAAGCACTAATTTCACACTACAGTTAAAAGCCTCCCAATAAGTTTAATCTTTCACCAGAATACTAATAGCAATGGTACATTATATACTCCGAGGGGAAACAGACCTTGTCCAGGCTCTTTGTATATCAATTCTCTTTTCATTATATCATTCTCGTTCTTACCCCTCCGACGATTTTTTACCACCCTTTCCCTTATTTTTCGGCATTCTGCAAACTGTTCTGGAACTTGCTGCTTACGGATCAGTAATTTAGATTTCTGAAAAATTATTCAAAATGTTTTAACTAATAATAGGTAAATCATTCTAAGGACAATAAACAAATTTTTACGATACATCACAAAAAAACATGGAAACTGCTATTTCATGAAATTCACAATTTTATTTACGCACAGTATTCAGCTGTCACAAAAAAAAATCTGATTTGGATGGAAGGAAGTAGAAAAGAAAGGGTAATGTTGAAGTACTGAGCAACATAACTATATAAATTTTGAGATCTAAAAGGTTATGTCTGGTTCTGGCTAATGAAGATCAGATCAGTAGCAGGCTAACCTGTGAATGAATTAAAATGAATAGTTGAAGCTGACATTTGAGTCGTTAGGGAAGCGGATGCTTCTGAGCTACTTCCAAACAGGGAAGAGGAGATGCCAACGAGTAAGTTGCTGGACAGAAAGCGTCTTGGCTTGCCCCATTTTCAATCACTATTTAAAACATAGGTCTGTGTGAGTAAAAATATTTCAAAATGTGCTAAATATCAACTACTTACGACATTATGCTTCTCCTCACTTACATGAACACCACATAAAAGTGCAGACCTGAAATTAAATTTCACACTCAGAGGAGACACAGAACATCAAGCCTACCGCTAGAACGAAAAACTGCACTGAAAATTGAATCCATCACCCGCAAAACACCAATCGGTCTACTACAAACCAAATTTTATCGGAATGATCTGCTCAGATCACTCAACTCATTTCCCCGGTAAATTTCAACAACGTTATGTCTAAAATTGAGAACTGAAGCGAATATCCTCGATTTCAAGTCAGTGACGATGAAGCCGAGAAAATCTACAACTACTATGATGTTATCGTTCTGGAAATGGGCAATTCTAATGGTGGCAAATGAGATATGGTGGGCGTACTAGTTTTCCCTTCCCCATACTGGGAAGTTTTTCAAAGAAACATATTCGCACTCCCAAATACATTAAGCCTACGGTGTGATAAGCCGAGATATCGATTCTCGTTCGGTATTTGTTGGCTTTCTAACTATTCTGCTATGTTGAAGGATCGTGGAGCAAAGAAATTCGTTAGACTGAAGGATTGTGGAGCAAAGAAATACTTTCGAATACTTTTCTCCCATCCCCTAAAAAGCATCTAAGATATCAAACATGAACAAATCTCCGTCAACGGAACTCGTTGTCAACATCTCGTAAACATATTCATTGTATATGGCACACAGGCATTTTCACACTGCTTCTTCATCAAAATACCCCAACGCTATGAACGTGGTGCAGTGGACCGGTTTGTCTGCTAAACGAATTATTTTCGAGTTGTTAAATGAGTTGTTTTCTGTAAGGTCTTGTGGGTTTTAGGAAGGGAAGGGCGGACTGTTCCAGATATCTCAAAAGAAGCGGCAAGCTTTCCTGAAGTCATGATTTTGGAATCGGATCGTGATCGTGTGTATACATGTGTATACACGTTCGTTGAGATTTCAACTCGATTTTTCACTGTCGTCTAATCCTGATGATAATTCGTAATAATGAACGTATTCTCGGTTGAGAAGGTAGCTCATCCATGATCAGGATACTTGTCACACCTAGGTTGGGTTGGAAATTGACATATTTGGGCTATTTGCAATGTGCCTTCACCGTTTGCCGAATCGTATAGTGTTTTAGAGTCGTTCTCCTTTTCTTTCCCTCTCAATTTTGATTTCATTTGATCCTGAAGTTATCCTTGTCATTATCACCAAGTTGAAACTGATGATTGTTATTTTTAGCGTCCGGTGTACAAATGCCATCAACATCTGAACATTCCTGCTCATCTGACATGTCGAACGTTCCCAAAGATATGTCATGTCAAAAATCATCTGATGTAAAATTCACGATATCCACTCTTAAAAGAAATGTGCCATCAATATCAAACAATAATGTACTGCGAATTGAAAGTAATGGAAGTGACGATAATGCGGAAGGTGCTATTAATGAATTTAAACGTCAACGGCTTACACTTATGAAAAACGGACAAATGACTGAGTATGTTAACTTTTACTTCAGCATGTTAACAACTTAAAAACTATTTATTTCTGTAGCAGTCCGGTCGAAGTATTGGCACATTTAAGGATTTTTAAATGAATACTGTTCCCTACCAATCTTCAGATGAATACCGTTTCCCTACTGAACTTTAAAGCTGGATAAAGTTATACAAATCTGTTGGAATCGGATTTGGATCCCAATAATTCAAGGAATAAGCCGGAAAATGCTAGCATGATACTATTCACTCTTAGCATTTCTGGGGTTGAAATAAGAGCAATTTATTTTGCTTGTTTATTTTTCTTCACAAAACCTTCGTTTCCAGACCAGGAGGAATACATAAGTCGGAAAGCAGTTTGGTTATACCAATGGTAACGCAGAAGGATTGGAGGATTGAGCGCCTTTTGCAGATGAAGAACGAGGGTAAACTAAATAAGGAAGAGCTAGCGAAGCTGGAGCTACTTACCGAATCTGCTTCGTCATCAACTCAAGAGACAGTTTGTTTTCAGCTTATTCACGTCTTTCCATCATTTTAAACTTCAGTTATATAATAACGCTTTATGCAATCCCCCTTCAGTAATCCTTATTTTTTTGTCTATGAGTGTTTCTGCAGAGCGTGAATAAAGTTGACGGTCAGATCAGTGAATCGCTTAGCAGTGTGGATGCTGATTATGATTCAGTACCAATAGAAGTATTTGGTCTTGCGGTACTGAGAGGTTGTGGTTGGCGAGAAGGTGAAGGAATTGGTAAAACAAACAAAAAGTGAATTTAAAACTTTTAAATTCGTAAACTAGAATGTAGACTGTGCTTAGTTTTGTACAACTGTCTTGGAAAAATTCCCTGTGTTTCGAGAATCATTTTATTAAATCAGCGGTTTTCAAAGATGGTAAACTGAATGATATTTTTAGGTATTGGTGTTGTGATTTCAGAGAATAATATCTTGCTGATATTTTACTGAGCAGTGTTACCTCCCACTGTTAACATTCTTTTTGTAAGTTAGGTTACTGCTCTTTAATTTTCAGGGTAGTACCTCTGCGAATCTCATCCAGAAGGCCGAAAGGACTTGGATTGGGTGCCACCATTTTGTCGAAATCGACAAATAGCTTGAATTCAGATGCAGGAAAATTGTGTAGTTTAAAGAAAGCATCACTTGTGAAAATTATTGGTGGGATATATAGGTAATGATAACACTTTATGAAAGAAAAGCTGACAGGATTTATATTTAATTCATAAGACGCATGCGTACCTTTTTTGCGCTACTAATTTTTTGTTTCACTTTTTATGCAGTATTCAGAAAGTGAGAATAATGAACGATTACTTTACATTATGGTTTAGTAATGCTTTGAAACAATTTACATGAGAAAAACTAAATTACTAATACATTTGGCAATTTTTTACTGCCAGCAATTTTTGTTGCATATGTAGTAGTAATTTTGTTTGTTTTTAATGTGTTTCATTTTTGTTTTCTTTTATTAACTTATGAAAATTGTTTTAGGAATTTATATGGAAGAATAGAGAGTTTCGATGAAGATAATGCGAGCGTTATTGTTCGGCTGGCTGTGGGTGACAAAATTGTTCGTGTTAGTCACTATGCTGTGATTTTGGTCACTGATGAGGAATATAAACGAAAAGGCAGAAGTATAGGTAGTTATTTCGATTTGAACTTCAGTGTGATCTAAAATATGGAATTATTCGACATTATTCGAGGGATTTTGATGAACTTCCCACTTTATGTCCTACATTTTTTCGTGAACCTGATGGATATTATTATTTTATATAGTTAGAGTAGTCAGGTATTACTCGCCAAAAAAGTGATTTGTTTATTGGAGAAATCTTCGGACGACATTTGGGATGTATGTGTTCGGTCGACTTCATGACATTCATTATTTTCTCAGCCTGCAAGATTGTTACATCGCAGAGTTTCGTGATAGTGTGAAGTTTGAAGTCGATATCAATAACTTCCTCACCCATTGCTGTCCTAGTCTCAGTACTTTGTTTATTGCACATAATGACATATCTCTCTCTTAGCTTCACTGCATGTCAGTTTAAACCGAAAATGATGCTAGTTACTAGACTTCATAAAACAAATCGTGATGAATGTATCTGTTTTGTTTTATTTTTGAAAATTTCAAAACAGTCATGTTATATGCCTTGAAGCAGAACCTTCTCATGACGGTGGCAAACATTCAAATGGTAAAATCGAAATGAAGGATAGCAAAGTGAGAACATCACAGGAAAAGAATTATAAGAAGCAGAAATCAGAAATCATTGTCAAACCAAATAGGGAAGGTATGTGGGCACGACCAGAACTGAAAGTGCGATTCATCGATAGGAGATTCAAGGTTATTGTGTTTTTTGTGATTTTTCGAAAATTTTTTGAAGCGCAAATTTTTTAACTACTGCTTTTTCTTATTTCGTGGCTGCTCTGAATTGGGGATTCATCGAAATCCATTATAATCTGATTAACTTGTCTTATGCTCACAAGTAGTCTTATACATTTGTATGCTTGTGGCTGTTATTCATTGTTTTGATAATGTTTTCGCAAAGGCATTAAGAAATGAAGGATTCGTGCACTTTTAGAATGGGAAGCTCTATAATGAGAAGGTTCGGATTCTGGATGCAGCCGATCGTGAAAACTGCATTGTAGAAGATTTTTCTGGAAATAAGTATTTCCGTAAGTTATTGTTTTGTAGATATAACGTCTTTTGATTTCATTTTACATCTTTTTATTTTTAGTAAATCTTAATGTTAGTGTGTTTTTAGAAATCAGTGAACATTGGCTGGAAACAGTGATACCAAAAGCGAGGGGGACAAAGTTGATGATTGTAAATGGTCCACTTCGTGGAAACATTGCAGTGCTGGAAGCAAAGGATAAGAAAAAACATACGGTTATTGCTAGGTTGATAACTACTGATGAAATTGTTACTATGTATTTTGATGATGTCTGTGAATACCTTGGTTCTTTTGATGACTTTTAGAACATCATGATTTTCTATCATCATATGATAGTTCTCGTTCTATTAATAGATGTATGCAGCACTTAAATCTTTGTACTCAAACTTGTCGCTACAACCACTAAAACGATTCAGTGAGTTTTCTGAAATTTCCTACAGAAAAGGTGAAGTTCGAGAGGACGTTTGAGAATGTGATATGAGGCAGCATACTTTTCAATAATTGTTGGTTTTGATTGAGAGCTATAAGTGATCGACTGCTGAGTTTCTATTCGTGTACACAAATATTTGTCATACCTCCGACTTATGTTTTAAGTGTAATTAGTACTGTGTATTTCAGGGGAAATAGAATTTTCGTTTGGCAAACTTTATTATATTTTGAACATAAAGACTCCCACGTCATCCATATTCAGAAATGAGCGTATGTCTAAAATATGCAAACAGCAAGGTTGTAGTTGCAAACGTTGGCTTAGGTACAAGAAATTAATATAGATGTGAATGGCTAGACTGATTGGAATGCGCTATAAGAAAGGAAATTAGCTATTGACAACATCAAATTTTATGGTGTGATAGATGCAAGCAATATATGAATCTGCTGGAATACAAAGTTCTTCGATAGTTTGCAGTAATGTTGTACGGTATGATTGGGAAATGGTTAGTTTTCGTAAGTCCTGCACGAATGTTGACACTATTGTAGATTGGTTGCTTCTACCTGTGGACGATCCATGTCATGAATTACTGCTGTTGAAACGCCTTAAAAAGAATTCGGTTGAATCTGTAATTTGATTATATAAATCATAATGTAGTAATTTATTTCAAAGCGTCTTTGCTAAAAGTCACTCAGGGCTCCAAATAGCTGGATGAAAAGAAACGTGAGGAATGGATATGACGCTTTCAAGAAATACTTAACCTTATAATTTGTAACCTGCTGTGGAATCAGTCTTTGTTCCCAGTTCATTTTTAGTTCGGATGCTACAGGCAACAAATTAACAATTATTTTGGATAAGATGTAAACCTGTTTAAGGTGATTCCAGTATTTTCCCAACCTTCTATTATAGTAAATCTTTTTTTTTCTTGTAATTGTTTTGATGGTGGTGTGAAGATCTATGAAATATCTGAGTTTTTCTATGACTACTTGACGATACAGCTAATATCGGATCATACATAATTTTTTGCGGAAAAAATGGCATGTAAACGATATAGAGTTACACTGATCAGGTCCTTCACTTTGAATATAACTTTCTATATCTCTGTCAAATACTTTCAACGGCTGGCATAAGTTACAAAATCTGCTGCAAATAAAAATAACTTTCAAAATACAAATAAATTGAGAAAATTGGCTTAGATTCGGAATCTAGAATTTTAGTGGAGAATATGCATTCTAGGTGTATGTATTGTCGCCGAATTTCTTTGTTTCAAACTTGGGTAATTGAACTTTTATTCCTCAAAACTCGGTAACACAGAAACGATTTTAACGATTATAATATCACTATGTGCAAAAGGGGGACCAAAAACCAATAACGCCCGATATCGTCGACCCAACCGACCTGTTGCAATACTTCTTGCGAAAATGAACTGGCGCTCAGGATCTCATTCTTTTTATTGCTGCAATTTCGCGTTATGACTTTCGGAGTTTTTCCGACATTCCCAACTGAGGAAGAATATTGTCCTTAGGAGTTATAATACTGGTGTTTTTTTTGATTTTCGGTTTAAATTCAAAATCTCGGTGTTTGAATTTCATTGAGTAGCATTCCTAAATCTTGAGGCTATAAGTTCTTCTTGCTGATCTGGGTTTTCCATTGGTTTTTTAAAAGCTGTCGGCTGAATTCTCGAACTTTCTTCAACAGTTATTTCCAAGGGGTACAGTACATTTACTGGTCTATTGAGAAGTTTCGTTGGGCATTTCTACCAATGCGCTTCTTGTCACTCCCTCTCTACCTTTTCTTGCACCAACCATTTCTTCCGTCCAGGGCAGAATACCAGTCTCCCCTGAACTGCAAACAGTCGCTTTGATGCCAGATTTCAGCTTTTGTTTGAGCTTCTACTGTGCTTTCCTTACTTTCTTGGTCGATATCCTTATTTTCAATTCCGATCTCAACTTCATCTTTTTCATCATCATCTTCAAGCTCGTACTTATCTCAATCATTCACTGTTGCAGATTTCATTTTCATCTTTACCTCTTTGGCTGGTTTTATTTTGACCATTGGCATTGCTTCATCAGGTTTGTCGATTTTGTCTGATTTTTTCTTCGGTGTCGGTATTTTACTTCTTTTTTTCTATCTCCACTTTCCACTTGAATTTTATAGCACTCATCAAAATAGCTGTAATAAGGATTGTAAGCATCCACTATTTTGTTATGCTCCGAATTTTCCAATCTACTCCGTGATCTCCATAGCTTTCTGTCATCGTGGCTCGTTACGCTAGCCATGCATGATACGGCTGAGGTTATTGGTGTAGCACTTGCTTTGCGAATATTATTTATATAACCATTCCCGGCTAGCATTGGTCCAAGTTTTGCCCTGAGTAACAGAAATCCTGATTCCAATTCTTGTGCTGCATCTAGTTTGATAAACTTGAAGAAGTCTTTGACGCCAATAAATATTTCGGGCTGCTTCCAGTAACCGTCTATCCCTTTTAAGTTTTTTCTTTCCATTATAGAACTGATATTTTTGTCGTCGACTGTGACCATTTCTAGTTTATTTGTAAGGTACTCCATTACGTTAACCTC